TAATGGGGAGAGAGGTTATGATAGAAGTGCAGATATTGTGGAAGAAGTGAAGCAGTACCGATCCGAACTAAGGACCAGGGATGACCTGTGTCACTTAGTGGAAACGTACGAGATTTCTTCTAGGGTGTTAGTTAGGCCAGCTGGGGTAGAGGAGAGGGCATGTTCTGCTCCTCGGGATCACTGGATGCCTGTGTATTCCCACTACTTGATGGCGGGACTCAGGTTTCCACTTCCTGAGTTGTTGATAGCTTTGTTGTTAGATTACAACATAGGGTTGACACAGTTAGTCCCCAACGCAATGAGGGTAATAATAGGTTTTTTAGTTTATTGCCGAGCTCAGGGGATTAGCGTGCCAACTGTAAATATGTTTAAGTATTTTTTTGTTTTAAAGGGGAGTAGCAAGAGAGACAAGGGGTGGTATTATTTCACCCCGAGGGTAGCTAATAGGGAGGGTAGGATTTTATTTACAGCGGGTCCTTCATCCATTAAGGGATGGAAGGAAAAATTCTTTTTTATAGATGATATGGAGTGGGGAAAAGGGGATGCCGAGGTGAGGACGTTAGCTTCCTGGAAGGCCAAAAGGGCCAACCAGAATAGGTTTAGCCTAACCGAGGATGAGGAGGAGGAAGTGGGGAGGTTGGAGAGGAAGAAGGGGGATGTGTTGAACATCATGGACCTCACCAGCGCAGCATGCATAGAAGCTGCTGAGCTCTATGGGCCAAGCGCTCTGAGTGAAGGTTTGTTTAACATAGACTGTAGCGCTAAATGTAGAACATAAAATTGTTACTAATATTGTGTTTTTTGCTTTGCAGCTGACATGAATCAATTTCTGGGCACAGCTGGAGGAAAGGCGATCCCCAAGAAGCCAAGGAAGAAGTCAAGGACTTCAACCAGACAAGTGGATGAGGGGAGAACTGGGAAGGAGGTGGTGGCTGCTGTTTCAGAGGAGACGGGGGAGGATGTGCCACCACTGAAGAGAAAGAGTTGGGAGGAGAGGAGGGCATTGGAGAAGAAGAGGAAGGTGGTGGAGGAGGTGGAGAGGGATGAGGTGCCTGAGTTTGTACCTCAGCCTCCTCCTGTTGAGCTGAACCCTGAGCTCAGACGGTTGGAGGAGGGGGCTGAGGTACGAGCTCCTGGCAAGGGAAAGGGCCCTATTCCTCCACTGGGGCCTCAGAGCAGCCTGTTCGAGGCGAACAACATGATGGGGGCTAGGTGGTTCATGCACAACACCTTCCCCGAAGTGGACCAACGCTTCGCTCGGGAGGAAGCTCTGAGGTATGGGGGAGCATCTGTGGTGAAGCACGCTCTAGAGGTATGTTAAATTAATAACGTTGTTTATTCATACTGTTTCTTCTTCTCTTCTTTCTCTTTGAACTTCTGCTTTGATTTGCAGAATGCGAGCTGGGTGAATGGTCTAGCCCAGGAGTTCAGGGAGAGCACAAAGGAGCGTGCACGCTTGCAGAGGCAGTGTGACCAGCTGCAAAAGGAGAAGGAAGAGCTGGAGAAAAAAAATAAGGAGCTGCAAGCGTCGCTGGATGAGGTGGTTCCAACTCTGAAGCAGTTGGAACAGGAGAGGGCTTCCCTGGGCACCAAGCTCGGCTTTGAAGAGACCAAGCGAAAGATCTCTGAAAGCGAGCGTGAGGCTCTGGCGCAAGAGTTGAAACTGACGAAGGAGGCCTTCTTGGAGCTGAAGGGGAATGTGCAGACCTTGGTGCACAACGGAATGAAGGAGCACATTGGCAACTTCATCAGCTCCAGTTCGTTTGACAACATCGTCAACCTCTACCGACTGCCAACTGCCATCATTGCCTTCACAGACTGCAGAAAAAAGGTGAAGACTGTCTATCCCGAAGTGGATGTGACAAGGATAACTTTTGGAGAGCAAGAAGCTGGAGTGGAGGAAGATGGTGAAAGCATGTCAGCAGACTTCCGCCCAGAAATCAAACTGAAGTGGGATCATGATGCTGATGGGCGCACTGTTTTCCCTCCGAACTTCGACTTCGAGTTCGTGGCAGTGGAAGAAGAAGGGGCAGAGGTAGAGGAAGATGAGGTGGAGGCAGGAGTGGAAAGAACTGGAGTGGATGAGAGCCAACGAATTCCAGAAGTGGAGATTCACCCAGTTCCTTCTGATGATGATCAGCCTCCTCTGCCAGACGAGCAGCAGCCAAGGCAGCCACCTCTTCCAGCTGAAGAGGAGCTAGTGGAGCCACC